CAGGAGATCATAAGTTTCATGAGGTCAGACTTGCTTTTTCTCACTACAAGTTTACCTAATGCCTTTGAGAGTACTCAGTAAACAATTATTAAATCAATGAATAAAGCTACGTAACAACCACAATATAATTCATATAAAGAGTATTTTGGAGAGTTTTTAAATTGCATTTAATGCCTTAAAGAAGAATGCAAACTTTAAGAACTTGACTTTTTTTCCCTTTAACATAGACTTTAACATGAAAATTGTCCTTAAAAACAATGTCAAAATCATCCAACTTAAATGAACCTAAAACTACTCTTTATTTAGAAATATAAAATTCAAAATTTATACTTTTTAGTTTTGGCAGGAAATACATGCAATCAATTGTGATTAAGCATGAAGAAAAGTATAGTTTACTCATTTAGTTTATCAAAGAATACTTTAATTGAATCTCCACTGGGAAAGTACTTTGACTGTGGTCATGCCATGGCAACTGGATGGCACATGAAGATCACAAAGTAGAACTATCAACTTAGGTGTTTAGCAAATCAACATAACAATGAAAACATAACAATAATTATGTATTACTCTAAATCATTACTCTAAACTAACAAAAACAGAATTGAAAAATCACAAAATTACTCTCGCACCTTCATATCAACCTTAGGAGAAAGCCATAGTGATGCCTACTGTAGCATGTAAAGGCTTAGAAAGTTCTCATTATTTGATGAGCTAATGGCTTTGAATTATTTTCCAGGTGTGGAAACTGATTTGTACATGTACTCCTATAGTTCTTTGAAACCAGATGGCCTAGGAACACAGCGGTATTGCATGGTGCAATCTGAGATGAAATTCATGCTCCTAACAGAATTTTCTAAAAGTCAAAACAGCCACGCACATAGGTATTTATATTTGTGACTTCAACAAAGAATACATAAACATGCTTATAATCAAAGATGTATATAAATAGAATGCCATATACCATAGAATTGCAGTGTGTTTGAATTTGCCTATATAGCTTCACATGTTCAGCAAACACAAGAGACTGACAAAGATGGAGGGAGCTAGAGAGAAAAGGGGAAAGAGAAAAAGAAAAAAACTTAAAAGTATAAGCAACTCTGCCATAATGCCTCCATTACACCCAATGAACACATGCTTCCGTAACAAGTGGGAGGTGCATTCTTACAATCGTGTCAGTTCCCTCGGTACCGTGCTGTGCAAATGTGATCCCGGAGATTCATAGTTTAAATTATTTCACACCGCATAGCCTCTCAACACAAATTACTCCAGTTGTTCAGTAAAAGAACAATGATCTGTCTACTGCTAGGGAAAAAAGTAAAAATGAAACTGGCAGATTTAGTAAAATACTACAATCTGTGAGAGATTTATGTGACTTTCAAGAGTAATTTTGTTCATATCCAATTGTCACCTTTTATGTTGACATTACAACCTAACTCTTTTGTAAAATGAATGTGATTGCACTGTACAAGATAGCCAATATTTATCTGAATTCTAACCTTTCTTATTTAAAAGCTTTGTTTTGTAGCTGTTGCTAACATGCCGTTTTGTCAAGCAGGAGTACATTTTATTGAGCTGTCTGTCTAAATTCTAACATGTAGCCTTTCTATGGCTAATGGTTTACAAAGCAACAACATACACAGAGAATGAGATAGCACGTGTGCATGCATGTATGTATATGTTTGTATGTCTGTCTGCATGTACATGTGTGCATATGTGCATGTGTATGGAGGATGTGAATATATTTACATTGTGTGTGTATTCTCCCTAGGGAAGAAAATCCTCAAAGGCAAATAATTTGAGATTCCTTTCTCATTTTTTAAATACTAAGTTCCATGCCACTGGAAAATACGAAATTATTTTCCTGCAGATCAGACATTCTTTGATGAAGCAGAGAACGTAAAAGAGCTTTGCCATACAACATTCACTGAATGACCTGGTTGTGGTATGAAGTTATAGATTTATTTTTATTATTTCCCAGAACATTTCTTCAATAACAACAATTGTTTACCGATTTATAAATTATAATATTCTAAATATTTAAATAATTTCAGGCTTGGTCTCTCTTTTTCCTTCTCTACTCTACCCCTTCTCCCCAAGTAGGCACCAAGGAAAGGCCAAATGAGCACACAGTGAAAAGGTGGTCATTCTGCAAGCCAGGAAGAAAGCCTCACCAGATCCTGACCATGTTGGCATCTTGACCTCAGACTTCCAGCCTCCAGACTGTGAAAAAATAAATGTCTGTTGTTTAAGCCCCTCCAATCTATGGCATTTTGTTATGGCAGCTAGAGCAGACTAAGACAATGTATTTTTATTTAAAAAAAATATGAAAACATTTAAAGAATTAAATCTTAGTAGCTGGTTGTAAGGTAACTGTTAACTAAAGAAAAATGATGAGTAAAAAAAAGTTTACTTTCTGTCCCTCACTCTCAATCATACAACCTTTTCACTTGAAGAATGAATCAAACCATGGTGCCTAGAAGGGAATTAGCACTGTAGCTCCAATAACTGCAGAGGATCGAGTGGAGACTGTTTTAGCTGCAAGTCAATTCCAAGAGCCTAAATCTATATTCAGGAAGCAATCGAATTTCTCAAGTATCTTGAAAGGGCTTTGGGTTTCCACACATGGTTTTTTTCACTGCCAGGACTTCATGGTTAAATTCTATTCACCATTTAGCTTCTCTACAAAGGCTTCCGTGGTGCCACTGTTATCCCCAATCTAAATGTTCCCCTTCTGTAAACATCCATATCACTCTGGACATAACCTTTATCACATATAAGCCATATGTTTATTATTTTACAATCTTCTACACCATAACTCATTAAGGATAAGGGCTCTCTGGAACCCTCCCAGACTAACTAGCATACACTGAATACTCAAAGGTTGGTTGAATAAATGTAAATGAATAGAGGAACAAGTGAATGCACAAATGCATCAGTCAGTTTTGGGGGCCTACTAGAATTGACCCCAGAGGCCCCAAAGCTCTTCAGAGTATACTGCAAAAAACCTAAATATTTGATGTTATTAGACACCAATGTAAGGACTTCAGTCCAAATTCTCCCATCTAAATCTAATCTTTTAAGCTTTTAGAAGTTTAAAGCTAAACTGAACTTCAGAAACTATTAAGCAAAAATACTCCTATATGTCTCACTGGTGATGCTACTCTTAATCATAATTCGAGTTAAAAATAAAGAAATATTTCTCTTAAAATTGAAGAGTTTAAATGTGAAGAAAACACGGTAACTGAATAAAGTACAGTAGTCATGAATACGAAGTTTAAAGTAGTCACCAGGCGAGCACATGTAGGGGAACTTTAAAAGTAATAATTTTGTAAATGTGCAGTCAATTTCCTGAGGAAACATTAAATATCCTGTTGCTTGATTCATTTGAAATTAAATTGTTCAAAACATCAGAGAACAGACAATAATAGAAAATTATGTATATGTTGAAATGAGTCAGGAATGTCAATCTACATTTTATACTTTAAGTTTCAATATTTTCAAATTTATTTGCCAAGGAATCAAAATGACTTAATGGGATGAATCATTTAAAAGAAAATTTCTTTGATATATTTGCTTGTTTTTGTTTCATGTTTACTGCCTCATTTTTTTTTTTTTTTTTGAATCTTCTCCCTCTTAAGGAGATTTTAATTCAATAATGAGAAAAATATTTTAATATGTACTTAAATATGTTCCCCATCGCCACATCACTATTTAAAGGATGAGTAAAAAAAAAAAGGACCACTGAAATTCCCAATGCGGATAACCTGAGTAGAAATAAAAATAAGATCAAAACAAATACTTTGCCATTTATAAGATTAAGAGAGGAATGACATATTCATAGCGAGTACTGCTGCTTTTCAAGCTTACATCAGACATTATTAATTGATCATAGTTCTCTTTCTTGCAGAACCTAGATACACCCCCAGATGCCTTCTCATTACAGCACTCTAGATAGTGGCAACCAGTCAGTCATATATGAAAAGGAGAGGGAGGCTCTGCTCCTTTGAGTCTATAAACAAACCAAGAAATGAAGGTATCCTTCTAATATAAAATAGAAACTTAGGTGCTCCCCAAGAGAGAATGCCATTTTAAATGGAAAAAGAAGAGAAAGTCAACTTTTTTTCTATTTTTCTAAATTGAGGTAAAATTGACATAACGTTATATTAGTTTAGATGTACAATGTAATGATTCTGTATTTGTTTATACAGTTATTTGCCACTTAAGAATGGGGTTCCAGTCTGAGAAATGCATCATTAGGCAATTTCCTCGTGCACAGATCATGGAGTGCACTTCCGTAAACCTAGATGGGATAGCCTACTACACACCTAGGCTATATGGTATGACCTATTTCTCCTAGGCTATAAGCCTGCACAGCATGTTACTGTACAAAACACAAGATTAAATCAAGCACAAGAGAAGATGATGCAATCAAGAGACGTGGTGAACATGAGATGTATGAGGCTGTTGCCAGCATAGCTCAGCATACAGTTTTACAGCAAACTTTTGTTTTATAAGTATAAAGAGTATGCTCTAAATAATAATAAAAGGTATAATATAGTAAATATATAAACCAGTGACATAGTCATTAATATCATCATCAAGTATTATGCTCTGTGCTATCCTTTCATACGTCTGGCCTTGCAGTAGGTTTGTTTATACCAGCATCACCATAAACACATGAGTAATGTCTTGTGCTAAGATGTTAAGATGCCTATGATATCACCAGGCAGTTGATAGCTAAATTTTTCAGCTCTATTATATTCTTATAGGACTATCATTCATTGTATATTTGACCCGTCCTTGACCAAAATATTATGTGGCTCATGACTCTATTGCAAAATGATCATCATAATTCCAGTTAACATATATAACCATACATGGTTAAAATTTGTTCTTGTGATAACTATCAAGAGCTACTTTCCTAGCTCTTTCAAATATACAATACAGTATTATTAACTACAGTTAACATTCTGTATATTACTAATTATAATGCATTATATAAAAATATGGAACATTTTACAAATTTGCTTGTCATCCTTGTGCAGGGGTCATGCTGATCTTCTTGGTATTACCCCAATTTTAGTAAATGTGCTGCTGAAGTAAGCAGAAAAGTCAACTTCTTTTAATGGAAAGAACTAATAACTTGAATAGAGCTCTAAGATGACAACAATCATTGCATTGTATGGCCACAAAGAACAAAAGAAACAAATTTGAAGTAGGGAAAAGGAGCTAGGACTTGGATGTCCCTTATTTTATATTAGTTAATCCAATTTATGACTAGACCCTTAAAAATAGGATCGGAAACCTGATTTTATAAACATCTCAATTTTTAAGCTTTTGTGAGTCCCTCCCTTCCCTTCCTCATGGTTCATTAGCAAAATTGTTTAAAAAAAAACTGTTTCAAGGAACAAAGAAAAGAGGTTTTCCATACCTAAATCTGAAAGGTAATAGTATTATAGTACCCAAAGGATGGGGGAGCAGTGGCAGCAATGAAAGAGAGTTTTCGTGCACAGTGGGAAGAGTAGAGAGGGCAAAGCTGAAACAAGTGAAGCGCCGAGAAAGACAGGCTCAGGTGGGGAGAAACTTCTCAGATGGGTCATCCTCTCACAAGAGGGAAATAACCTTTGGGCCTCTCACTAAAGACTTTCTCCATCTCTGTTCCCTGATGGTCACATTTTTAAGCTTAGATAAAAGCTTGTCTGAAATACCACTTTTAATGTCAGAATCCTTAGTAAGTCCAACCCAGGAAAATCAGATATGTTGTTGATTACATTCTCATTTTAAGGCTCTCTATGGGGCTAGCTTTTTATTCAACCACACTACAAAGAAAATACTTTACAAGTAGGTAACTTTGGTTGAGATAGTCATTTGTCTACAGTGAACTCTCAGATTTTCTACTTTAAATGCAAGCCTTAAGGTATTTAATGATTTCCAATAATGATTTCTTTGTCAATTAATCCTGTGGGTTGAACGTCATCAGCCTTGTTTTATAAGCGCTGGGAAATTACTATGCACTCTAAGTATATAAATCTTGTCTTAATCACTGAACCACAGTTGCTCTCCCAGTGGTTTATTATATTCAGGTACTGACAATACAATCTTCTTATTAGAATTTGAGGAAAGTGGGGAGATGTTAAAGTGAAAAAAAATCTGACTGCTATTCCATTTTATTAAGTATCATTCATATTATGATGGACTTTGATGTGTTAAGCTTTGATCTTTGATGAGGTACCATTATTCTCATATAATCTGAAAGCATTTTAGTTCTTCAAAATATCTAATTCACACTTTAGATAAATTAAATAGAAACATAGCTTTATTACACCTGGATATATTTAATCGGCAGTTCAGTGAAAGATAAATAAATCCTATACATAAAAAGTCATTTTTTTAAAACAACAGAAAGCTTGGTAGGACATACATTTTTTGGAGTGTCTAGAAGCCTATCTTTGGGGAACCTTCTCTGCCTCACGCCATGTAGTTTCAGTTGGTAGCATTATCCCACTGCCAGAGAGGGGGCTTCCACTTGAGGTCCTGGCCCAGGGAGTGAGCATGTGACTAAAGTAGTACCAAGTGAAGTCCTTCCTTAGGAGAGCTATAGACACTAGAAGGATGAGCATCTAAGGTTGACAACATTCCTCTTTCCTGACCCATCAAGGAAAGCTTTCTGCAAAATGAGAAAAGCAGATGTGAAAGAAGAATGGAGAGGACCCTACAATATCCATCCTAGTTCTAGTTCCTGAAATTCTGGCCTTTGTGTACCTTCCTGTGAACCTATGAAACATGTCTTATTCTTCAGAGCAAACTGATCCAATAAATTTGTTTGCTTAATTTAGTTTGAGTTACTTGCCACCCTAAAGAGTCTCTATTAATACCAAGGAAAAACACTTAATAAAAAACATTTCTGTAAAAATTTTCTTTAAAATAATAAAAATCTAGGTTTACAGCACATAGAGCTTCCCCTACCTTGTACCACAGACAAAAATAAATTCAAAATAAATATTATACCTAAATGTAAAAGCTAAAACTTCTAGAAGAAAACATAGGAGAACAAATTCACAACCTGAAGGAGGAAAGTGATTTTTTAGAAAGGATACAGAAAATAATAACCATAAAAATTTATAATTTAAACATTATTAAAAGTAAAAATTTCTGCTTATCAAAAGACACTATTAAAAAATGAATAGGCAAGCCCTAGGCATTGTCAGAAAATATTTACAAAACATATCTGCCAAAAGACTTACATCTATAGTATACAATGGATTCCTACAACTCAATAATAAAAAGACAAAAAGCAAACCAACTTAGAATATGGAAAAAAATTAAATAGACACTTCACAAAAGAAGATATGCAAGTGTCCACTCATCTCATGAAAAAGTCCCGGCATCATTAGATGTGAGAAAAATGTATATTCAGATCCAATGAGATGCCATAACATAAATATTTGAATGGTTGAAATTAAAAACAGGCTGATAACACTAAACATTGGTGAGACTATGGAGCAACCAGAATTTTCATACATTGCTGGTGAGAGCATAAATAGTAGAACCACTTTGATAAAAAGTTTGGTAATATCTTGTAAAATTGAACATACCCCTAACCTAGCAGATTGGACTTAGCTGTTCCAATCATAGATGTATAAACAGAAAAATGAAATATATATGTTCACAAAAATATTTGTACAAAAATGTTCATAGTAGTTTTAGTCATACTAGCCTCAAATGATGACCATCAGCAAGTGAGTAGATAAACAAATGGTGGCACAATCATACAGTGAAATACTCCTTAGTAACAAGAACCAAACTCTGCATACACATAGTGACTTGAATGAAATCTATAGTTATTATAATGAATAAAAGAAGCCAGCTATGTGAATAAATGTTTCATGATTCTATTCACATGAAGTTATAGAACAGGCCTAACAAGTCTATGGTTATAGCAATCAGAAAAAATGGCTACTCTTGATGGCATGAATATTGACTGGGAAGAGGCACAGGGGACTTTCTAAGGTGATGGAAAAGCCTTATATCTTGATGGGACATGAGTTACATGGGTGTAGGTATTTGTCTAAACTCACAAACTGTACACTTGAGACTTGTACAAATCGATGTTCTAATAACTTGTATTCTCTTCACCAAAAAAATGATAAATACTGAATTCTATTTAGTATGTTTGCCTTTTACTATTTAGTGGTATATGCTAACAATTCTGAAATTACCTTCTGTGTATTCCAAGTTGAGTAAATAAATATATATGTTGAATATAATGGGAGGTCGAGTTCCTCATTGTTGGAAAAGGAAGTTACAAATATGGAAATGAGAAGACAAGAATGTATCCTGCGGTTTGAGATTAGAATTAGAATCAGTATAAATTTATGGTTTTTATTTTATTTTTAAAATAAAGTTGTATATATTTAAGGCATATGAAATGTTTGCTACAGTCAAGCTAATTTATCATCTCCTCACATAGTTACTTACCACTTTTTGTGTATGATGAACACCTTAAATCTACCCTTAACAAATTTCCGGTATTTAACACAGTATTATTATTAACTACAGTCACCACTCTGTACATTAGTTTCGAGACTTATTCATCTTATACAACTGCAACTTTGTACCTTTTAACCACCATCTCATGGTTTTTAACATATAGATAGATAGATATAGAAATACAGACATTTATTTACTAATGCTGTTAACCGAAAGGACCTAGAAGTAATGACATACCAGTAGCAATTAATGAGTACACCTAGTGTCCAAATCCTGACTTGTGAATGCCATACACTTTGAAATAGAAGCATGATTGCTTGGATAAAAGATTGATTCCAGGGCTTGGTCATGAAAATTGTAAAATAAGCCTAGAAATAACATGTATCAGAAAGTCAGGAAACACTCAAGAAGGCTGTGAAAATGTCAAAAGGACACAGAAGCTGATTTGAAGTGGTTTTCACTGGCCAAATATGGGAAAATTTTAGAATATTAATAAATAATAATAGTATGGATGATACCTATAGAATAAAACATGAGACTATATGAGTTCTATTGATATAATAAACACACAAAAAAACAAACAAATGGAAGACATGAGAAACTCTTTCTTTCCGTAGAATGTCAACTAATAAATATATGGAAGCAATAACGAAGTTAAAAACATTATCAATGGATGCAAAAACTAGTGGTAAAAGTTTAGACACACACACACACACACACACACACACACACACACACACATAATTTTAAAGTATCTCTCCAAAAAATTAATCATTATTTAGAAAGAGTAAAATAATAATATCACTGTGGAAAAACCCAGCAATTCCAATGTGATCCAAAGTTTATATCATCAATGTTGGAATAAACTGTCATTATGTGCTTCCTGATGTGATGTTCTGAGGACACATTATCTGTCACTTCTGTGGTAATCCTTCCAAAAAAGCATAACCTGACTCTAATCATGAGGAAAAATTACACAAACCCAAATTGAGGGACATACTACAAAATAACTGGTCTATACTCTTTAAAAATCTCAAGGTCAAAATGAAAAACAAAACATGGTAAAGGACTGTTCTAAATGAAAGTACAATAAAGAGACATGACAACTAAACACAATGCTTGTCCCTGGGTTGGATTCTGAGCCAGGGGAAAAAAATAGAGAAAGGAGGAATTATCAAGAAAATTAATAAAATTTAATTATAAATTGTGGAATATATAATATGATTCTATCAATGTTAAAGTTTCTTATTTTGATCACTGACAATTGTAGTTATGTGATAGTATACTTGTTCTTAGGAGATACACTTTTAAATATTTATAAAGGGGCAAGATGTCTCCAATTTATTTTTAAATAATTCAGAAAAATCATAAACAGATATATAGCTAAAATGATAAAGAAAATGGAACAAAATGTAAATAATGTGAATCTGGGTAAAAGGGTATTTAGGAGTCCCTAATACTATTTTTGAAAGCATATCAAAATAAAAAGTTATAGAACACATATAGCTTACTGTAAGATGACACAAAGAAGCAGCAAACTGTTTTTCACTGGACCACCAGTAGGCTTCAAATATGCTACTGTGATTGAAAGGGTACTTACACTAGAAGTTAGTAAAC